TTATTATTTACGCTTTTTATAAACGACTTGCCCCCTGCTTTAACGAACTCTCTAGTTCTTATGTATGCAGATGATGTAAAGCTTTGTCTTCAGTACAAATCCATCTCTGCCCAATGCAGTCTTCAGTCTGACCTTGATAACTTTCAAAAATGGTGTTTAGCTAATGATCTAATACTTAATGGATTTAAATGCAAACATATGTCTTTTTATCGTTCTTGCCCTCTGCAAGCTGCTTATTCTATTAATGGGATTGCCTTAGAAAAATTAACCCAGGTTAATGATCTCGGCATCCTATTAGACATCAAACTTAAATTTGCCGACCATATTTCCTTAATGGTTAATAAGGCTAAAGGAGTCCTTGGTTTTATCAAAAGGTGGTCAAAAGAATTTAATGACCCCTATATAACCAAAACACTATTCATTTCTTTGGTCCGTCCTATACTGGAGTACGGTTCATGTGTCTGGAGTCCCCAATATGGAGTACACCAGGACCGCATAGAATCCGTACAAAAGAATTTCCTAATTTTTTCACTTAGAGGTCTAAACTGGGATGCAAATCTTCAACTTCCATCTTATAGTAGTAGACTCTTACTCATAAACTTACCTAGCTTAACAAATCGTAGGACAATGCTCGGTGTAGTTTTTCTGCATAACCTTATTAACGGGGATGTAGATAGCCAGCATTTACTAACACGCTTAAATCTTAACATTCCTAATAGAAGGACTCGAAACTTTAGTCCTCTGTTCCTTAGCCGTTGTAGTTCGACATATGCACTGCATGACCCTTTTAGGGTATTATGTTCGAAATACAATGGTCTCTACTCTATTACATCTCTTTCCTGTCCCTCTAACTTAAAATATAGAATTTTAAATTTCCTTACTAACTCCTCTTAGCTTAATAATTACCAAATAACTTAATATTCTAACAAATCGTTTCTTGAGCGCCCCTCGGTCGTCTGGGCCTCTAAGCTTTATGATGAATACAGGAATACTAGCTGATGCTCTTATTGATGCACAAGCCATTTCCAAATTCTGAAAAAGCGGTAAAAAAAAAATAACTAACAAACGGCCAATGGATAAAATTAGTAAACATCAAAATACATATATCGACATCACTGTCGCCAATGGGATGAGTCACTGGATTATGAGGAATTGCCGCAGTGGTCCGATTTCGAAATAACATTAATTCGTAGGTGCCAGCACCTGTCCGCCGAAGAAAGTGGCAAGCCGAAAAAGGAAAAACTGTGTTCGGAAAGCAGCACTAAAGAAGTTCGTTGGCTTGCTCCGCTTCCAATAAACAAGCTTGCAGTTATTGCAACGCACAAGACCATAGTCTTTCCCAGTGTAGTCCGTTCGCTCGCCTTGCTGTAATGCAACGGTTTGAGTTTTTGCAAGTCAGCGTCATTATGCTTAAATTGTCTGCGAAAAGGTCAAATGGTTGCGAAGTGTGAATCGACTAGGTGTCAAATTTGTGCAAGATCACACCACAAACTTCTGCACCGATTTACTGTGACCGAAAATAACTTGGCGTTACCACCACAAAATGAACATCCTCCTACAGCGCTACATCTTGATGGCCCTTCTACGTCACATTCTTTGAATGCGTTTTGTTAGCGACGTCGATCGTAAGCGTTAGAACTAAAAATGGCGAGCACATATTGGCCCGAGCATTACTTGACTCTGGGTCACAAATGAACTTTATTACTGAAGACCTTGTTCACCTTGGAATCATGTATCAACTTGCTTGGAATTGGTCCAGCTAATTCCCAGGCTAAGAAAAAGATACACACTGTGGTGAAGTCAACGATTAATGGTGGTGAGTTTCCGTTCGACTTTTGGATTTTGAGAACTATCTCGGGTTATCACCCTGACCAGTCAGTGAACGTGAAAGATTGGGACCTATAAAAGAACTTGCCGTTAGCAGACCCATATTTCTACAAACCTCAGCGGATAGACATGTTAATTGGAGCTGAGTCATTTGTCGAACTGTTGTCCGTTGGCCAAATAAAACAAGGGCCAAACCATCCCATTCTCCAAAAAACTCTCCTTGGATGGATAGTATCGGGAAAATAAAAAGCTAATACCTCAGTTCCTCAACAGCCTGTCTCTAACCTGAATTGCCAACAAGAATTACTCGAGTCTATAGATGGCAATTTGAAAAAATGCTGGTCGTTGGAAAAAGTACTAACTTCTAAAAAGCTGTTGTCACCTGAACAAGAGTTATGTGAGAAACTTTAGCAGAAAAATACAGTTCAGGTCGATTTGAAGTCAGGCTTCCATTTAAATCGGATCCAAGCGTTTTGGGAAACTCGTTCGAGGTAGCCAAACGCCGTTTTTTGTCGCTCGAGCGAAAATTATCTCGGGATCCGAATTTAAATAAAATGTATTTGGAATTTATGGAAGAATACGAATCCTTAGGTCATATGTCCCCTACAAGCAATGATGTTATTGCTACTCCACACTACGTCATACCCTATCAGTGTGTCTTACGGCCTCAGGGTCGTGTTTGATGCGTCTTGTAAGACATCAACACAGAAGTGCCTAAACGAACTGTTGATGGTTGGTCCTAAAATCCACGAAGAGTTGTATTCAACTATTCTTCGGCTCCGGCTGAACAGATTCGCTCTGATACATTGAAATACATTCCCTCGAGCTGCCGAAGTTATTGGGTCCGACTTTTACGTCGACGAAATTTTAACGGGTGCTGGTTGCATTGAGGAGCTAAAAACAATTAAATCTGAAGTAACTCAGGTTCTTCAAAACGCTGGCTTAATGTTAACCCGACAACGCGACGAACTTCGTCAGAGCGAGTCGCCACTTCGCAGACCTTCGTCGGAGAATCGAGGACGAGGTCGACGCGGTCACGCAATACGCATTAAGAAACGGATGCGTATTTGCGTTCATACCGCCGCGGGCTCCGTACATGGGCGGACTATGGGAGGCAGGTGTGAAGTCTGCAAAACACCTACTCCTACGAGCGGTGGGGAACGCCAGGTTGACCGCGGAGGAGCTGCAGACCGTCGTCATTGGAGTCGGGGCCGTCTTGAACTCACGACCCCTGGGGGCTCTGAGTCAGGACCCAAGCGACGGCGAGGCGCTTACTCCCGGACACCTGTTGACAGGCGGGCAGCTCATCGCCCCACCTGCACCACGTACCCCGGACCAGCAGGGTCTAACGTGCTTGGCGGCTTGTCTCGAAAATCAAGCAAACATTTTGGTAGCGATGGTGCCGGGTACGTCTTGGGCCTACCGGCGCGGTCGAAGTGGCAGCACCAGGAGGACGACATCCGGATGGGCGAGATGGTCCTGATCGCAGAGGATCACCAGCCGCCACAACAGTGGCCCACAGGAAAGGTATTAGCAACGCACGCCGGCGCGGACGGAAGGGTCGCGTAAGGACAAGCTCTGGAACGGAATATAGGAGTGCAGTCCACAAGCTGGCGCGGCTGCCAGTGAGTTGAAGCCGGATGGAGCCATTCAATGGGGCCAGTGCTAACGGATTCGTCGTGGTCGATTGGATTTGATATTAATTTGAAGTTGTTGTTTATTTGAATTTTATTTTGTAGTTGAATTGTTAGTATCTAAATCTAGTATAAGATAGCTAAGGGCGGAAAGCTCATACTCGCTCTTGTGGGAATTTGCCCCGCTTCGCTGAAATAGATAAGTTAGGCTTAAGACTAGAGAAAATATAGATCGAATTATAACGTTGACAAGGACACATCTTTTTCGTTTTGGTTTTCTTATTTTTTATATATATTAAATAAAAAATAAGAGTGGCTGCTAACTCTTATTTTTTATTTTTTTTTTGTGCTTTATCGTGGGAGATAAACTAATCTCATTTAATACACACTGATTTGTATACGTCAATATAAGCCACGAAAACTTCTTTAAAAACAAATACAACTAGCGAATGCAAAATTCAAAAAGGACATCGTTGACCACGATTGATTAACAACGCGTTCTTCACTATACGCGATTCCTATTTACTTTCTCCCACAACAAATTCATCGCTGCAAGCAGGAAATACGGAGGAAGGACACTTTCGGAGAAACCCATACTGCAAATTTTGGGGTTGCATCGTGTATACAAAATTTAAGGATCCCAAGGCTGTCGACCTCGGTTGGATGGAAATCCTAATTCACAAAATATTGCATCCATAGAAAAACTGGCCGGCGAATTGGACGGCGAGAGAATTGGCCGGCGGCCATGGAAAGGGGGGTGGGGGTTTCACATTGCGCATTTCATGACAGTCGGAGTGAACAGAGCGGAAAAGCCGTTTGACTGTCAGCGTTCAATGATTGTATTAATTATACCCTTGCAGACAGTATTATAATTTTGGTCCTTCTGTCCGTCTGTCTGTCTGCTTCTACGAGAAATAGTCTCTCAGTTTTAAAGCTATCGTCTGAAGCTTTGCACACACACTTCTTTCCTTTGCACGCAGTATATAAGTTGGATCGACCGATTATATCCTATAGCTGCCATATTACTGATTTATCGGAAACGCTATAACTCCGGTGTTTTTAAAGTTAAAGAGTTCGGATCTTGTACGAATGCTATTTTTGGTTATACGACATACCATATTTCATAAGGATGGGCCGACTATATCATATAGCTGCCATATAACTGAACGTTCGGAAATGACTGACCATATAACTGAACGATCGGAAATGGTATTTGGTAAAAATAACTACTTTTGTATTTTTTGAAATAGAAGCTTGTGGCTTTTTTTTTAAGATTTTGTATTGTAATAAATTAGTTATATTATGATATTGTCAAAAGAACCGGCCAATTATATCCGATGTTTGCGATATTTATCCGGTTTTACCTTCAAGGGTAACTTCAACTTCGGTTCCGCCCGAAGTTAGCTTTACTTTCTTGTTTTTTGTTACTAATTCTTTATTTTGGTTTGAAACTAATTTGAAACACATTAAACAATTTATAATACTAAATAAAATAAATGTATATATATTTAATACATATTATATTAAATGAAAACGTACCTTCCAACGCTCTTTGACTACATGACCCGGTTGTAGCAAGTCTTCTGAAGTCATTTTGGTGGCTTGCTTTTCTTTGGGGCCTAACACGATTCTAGTTTTTTCGAGTTCTGTAGCTTGAGATGTAAGTCGAATTTTTGCCGGCAGTTGAAAAGTAACACGACTCCGCACGCCTAACCGGCTGTGTTTGGCTGGCAGAGTCACTGACCGCTGAAGGACATTTGGAGAAGGCTGCTTTAAAATTTCTGTTTCGTCAGCCCCAGCATCTAAAAAAAATCGTTGCTGATGACAGGATTGAAGAGCTGTACCAACAGATGGCGGCTTTGAGGATGGTGGCGGATGTAATCTGAGCCGATTCCTGTTTTCATGATTTAAAATAAGATACTGCGCTCTGTTAAAGGGTGTAACAACCGAAAGGTCCACATTGGTATGGTCCACTGCTGTATGTTCGTCGTTTCTGGAAAAAGTAAAATTTTTACATTTATTATATCGGGATATAAAGGTAAAGCAACATTTTGTTACACATAGTCGTAATACTTGTATGTATGTCGAATGTATTAAATTTATTAATGCTAAATAACACTAAAATTATTTCATTAGCTTGACGAGAAAAAAGAAGCTTGTCTCTTGGGTTAAAGGTTTTCAATTTGTTTTTTTTTTAAATTATGGTTTAAATAGTAAATTATACGAATTATATTTTTCGGTACGGTTTACAATGCATGCAGGATAATTGAGGTTTTGTTGATTTTAATTTCCAATACATAAATAACGAAAAACAGGAATATTTTATATTTGTGTTATATTTATATTTTGTGCAAAAAATATGTTTTTGATATTGGTTTTGTTTTAGTTGGCATAGTTTCGTTTTGCGATACCTCGGGACAAGAGGAGATGGGTGAAAGCCGCCAAAGCATTCAAGCAAGAACGAGGCAAATCCCCAGTCTGTAAGGACATGGGGTGGTTTCAGGGCAGTATCAAAGTGGTGGTGTGCGGCGATGTAGAATTCGTGACGCTGTAAAAGGGAGGGTAGCTGCGGAAGGAGAGCTTGGTGAGGTCTATGAGTACGCCAAACTTGTTGCGCTGAGGTGGTGCGACGTCACCGTAAAGGTGTACAAATCTGACTCCCGATCTGCGACAGAACATCAGCCGAAATCTCAAAGGAGATTAACCTCAGATATTGAAGGTAGGCTTCACAACTCACGCTTCTTTGCCACACTGAATGGCAGCAAGTCGGATGAATGATGTACACATATCAAACGACGTAGAGGCGGAAGGCACAGTGATGTAGGAGAATTTCGCAGATGTTCTTATGGATTCTGCAAATAAACCTCCACCACCGTAAGCCAGCCTCAGCTGCTCTCCTGCTTCATCTGGCTGAGGATGGAACAGACATCGTCTTAATCAAGGAACCCAAGTTGGTAGGAGGAAGAGTTTCTTGGCTAGGAGCAAGGACTACCAGCTGAAGGTATAAAACCTGCATTCCTGTTTAAAAACATACTTAAGTTATACTTAAGTCAAACCTGTTTCTCTGTAAGAAGGAAAATGACACGTAACAAGAAAGGAAAGCTAACTTCGGGCGGAGCCGAAGTTGATATACCCTTGCAGTTAAAGCCGGATATATATCGCAAACATCGGATATAGTCGGCCGATCCTTATGTTTACATCATAATAAAACCAATTAATTACAATACAAAATCTAAAAAAAAGTCCCAAGCTTCTATCTTCAAAAATACGAAAGTTGATTTTTCTACCAAATACCATTCCCGATCGATCAGTTATATGGCAGCTATAGGATATAGTCGGCCGATCCTGGTCGTTCCGACTTATATACTGCGTGCAAAGGAAAGAAGGGTGTGTGCAAACTTTCAAGTCGATAACTTTAAAGCTGAGAGACTAGTTCGCGTAGAAACAGACAGACAGACGGACATGCTCATATCAACTCAGGAGGTGATCCTGATCAAGAATATATATACTTTATAGGGTCGGAGATGTCTCCTTCACTGAGTTGCACACTTTTGGACAAAATTATAATACCCTCTGCAAGGGTATAATGAGTTACCAACAAAAAAATATAATAAATAAAACCAAACATGCCCGATGTGCAATATGCCCGGGCATCATTTAGCACTCTGAATTCTGAAGAAACGGCACAAAAACTTAAAATGCCAAAAGAAAAACCGCACACAGAAATGAGTGGAGTATCACCAATAGGTGCATGTGTTTCAGATCACAAATTAATATTGATAATAAAAAATAACAGTAACTATTCAAAAGAATTTAGCACAAACGCAATTATTTTACCAAAACTTATGAAATATCTTCCCACAAATGAATTTTTTATTAATTAGTCGGATTGGAAAGAGTTCTATTCAGCGGATCCCAATTTCGATTAACCTGGTCGAATTGACCTTCTAATTGGTGCGGATTTATATCCCCTAATTTTACAGTATCGAGCTAAAACATATGGACCGATGTTGGGAGGTAGAAGAAGAGGATAGCATTGACTTAGAGATAAATTTGTGAAAATTAAAAAAAAAATATTTAAAAAAAAATTCAATTGAAAAATATGCTGTAGCTATCCCTTTTAAAGACCGTCAGCCAACGGGTACAACAGGGGAACCTACACGCAAGCAATTGCGTACCGTGTACACCGCAAGTAGTGCAACTGTACTCTCCACGTGAGGGCGGCTGGTAACAGGTCCCGGTAAGGTCATGTCTCTGCCGAGGATGCTGACTAAATCACCCCAATCCAAGGTGGAACAGCATATGCCGAAGGATGCGTGTTCGAAGGGGGGCTCCGACGCTAATATGCGAACTCTGGGGGACCGGCCGACCTCCCAGGCTTATCCCAGGCCGACGTCTCAGGCTTATCGTGACAAGCATGCTATGTCATGATGGACGAACCCCTTCCCGCCTACTCGTGGGACCAAAATATGAACACTACCATTCCAAATAAAAACCTTAGTGGAGAACGGAACTCCCTAAAAAAGTCCGGAAATGGGGTCAGTCACCCGTCAAACTTCAAGGCTCTCAAAAGCCAAGGAGTTGCTAAGATAGAGAAGCCCCCCACAGAGCGGCAACATCTGGAGGCGGGACGCGCCGGTGCAGAGTAGGTTGCCAAGGCTTCTTCTTCCAAAGCGGGGCTAGCAATGGGACCACCGAACGGCGTGGAGGTCCGGGAGCGTCTCACTCGACGCAGCGTAAAGGCTCTGTGAGGCTGGATCCGAACAAACGTGCTGGGTCAGACCCTGCCTAGGAGATCGTGCCAAGCGTGAAAAGGCAGAGGTCCACGGAGGGAGAAGCCCCCCAGGCTAACCGCTCGTTCGCCGAAGTGACGAAGGGAAGAACCCTAATTAGAGTCCTGGACAAGGGCTCCAAGGATGTGCTCATCCCCAAGGACCTTTGGCGACGAGTGGTAAACGAGTTGCATGGGCGCTTCGAGGAAGAGATGCTGCGAAGCGGAGGACCCCCACCAGAATGCAAAGACGCAGGACGGTACAAGGGTAGCGTTAAGGTAATTGCCTGCTAAGACGCGCGATCGGTAGATACCTACAAGCCTATGGTAGCATCGCTTGGAGAGGTCTACCCTGGAGCTAAGCTGGTGGCGGTTGACTGGGAGGAGATCCCAAGCAAACCAAGGCCGCGAGTTTGGCTCACTGAAAAGCCATACCATACTAATAATAACCATACTAACGATGCTTAGGATGGGCAATCCGACGCTTCCCACGTCGGACTGGAGAGTCGCCAAGGTCGAGGAGGCGGTGGGACTGCGGAGGCAGGTCGTCCTCACCCTCGACGAGGAGACCGTAAAAGCCCTCGAGAGGACGGAGCACCGGCTGAAGTACGGATTCGAACACGTTTCGGTCCGTATCTACAAATCCGATGCGAAGGTCAAGCCAGGAGGTATCGGGCTGGAGGCAGACACGAAAGAGCCAGACTTGGAGGAGCCGACCGAAGAGGGGCACCCGGAAGGAATGTCGGATGAGGACATCCTGGAAGGGTACACCTCGGAGGAGAGCGACTTGGCAAGGGCACTTAGTGGAGTCGGAATGGAGGAGGACTCTCTGCTGAGCTCCGAGACGGAGGCAGAAGTTACTGTGGTGGAGAATCGTAAGAATGTCCCTGATAATCTTGCAGATAAACCTCCATCACACTAAAGCGACGTCAGCTGCCCCTCGTACTCCACCTTGCCGAGAGTGGAGCTGATGTGGCCCTCCTCCAGGAACCCTGGATCCTTGGAGACAGGATTCTTGGGTTGGGGCGTCGGAGTATAGGCTCTGCAAAGCCGATACAACAGGTAAAAAGCGAGCCTGCATCCTCGCAAAAAAGAACCTTAACCTCTTTTTGCTACCCAATTTCAGCAATGATGACCACATAGCTGCAGCCACAGAGAGCCCAAATGGCCCTCTAAGGGTATGTTCGGCGTATTTGGGTCACGACCAGGAGGCCCTCCCCCCGCACGCGCTACTCAAACAGCTGGTGGAAGACAGCAAGAAGCACAAGATCGACCTGATCATAGTTAGCGATGCTAACGCCCATCATCATCAGTGGGGAAGCACGGACATGAATGAGAGGGGTGAATCAATCTTCGATTTTATCCTAGGCTCCAATCTTCTGGTGGGTAACAGGGGTACAGAACCCACCTACAGAACTCATAGTCAAGAACTGAAGGGAAGTACTTGACATCTCTTTTTACTCTGACTCCCTAGCAGACAACATTGTTAGATGGGGAGTCCTAAAGAAACACTCTTTCTCGGACCACCGAAACATAGAATTAGTGGTCAATTTTGAGAACATTAATCGACTAACGGTACGCAACCCGAGGAAAGCGAACTGGGAGTTATACAGGAAAAAACTAGAAAGTTCCTTGGGGAAACAGGGGACCTTGACAGTGGGGAAGCCCTGGATGCCATGGTGGACCCGCTTACGGCAGCGTGCGCCAGGGCATTCAATAAAGCTTGTCCCAAAAGCAGATCGGGCAATAACAAGTCAAAGAAACCACCATGGTGGTCGCAAACACTTGCGCCCTTTAAGACCAAGGCCTGCAAGGTCTTTAATTTTGCCAGCAAGCAAAATCGGAGACAGCCTGGGAGACGCTCCATGAACAGTATTGTGACCAGTTTGGACGTCGTCGACATATACTTCATTTAATAAGACTGGAGTTGCTAGAGGTAGCGATGTTGTTCGTCGTGAGCGAGTTGACGGATTACGCGTATGGATATACGTCGATGCACAATATGTCGTTAAGGGATTTTCCGTTCGAAGTGGTACATGATGCATCGTACACCACCCGAACTTTGGTCGTTGTACTGTCCTCCTTTACCATGACATGGTGTGGGAGAGAACATGATGAGAAATACTGTTGACCTCTTGGAGTGATCATTTGATGTCGAGTTTCAGCGGTAGTGACTTTGGAGAGTTGCTTAAGATCAAAATATTCCTTAATGGTGGAGTGAT